ACCTGGAGGGACATGAGGGGGTCAGAAGGGTCCTGTGCCCCTGGGAGGGTCCCAGTACTGATTTTGAGGGTCCCAGTGATGATTTTTGGGGTCCCAGGGGTGTCCCAGTGCTGATTTGGGTGTCCCTGTGCTGATTTTGGGGGTCCCAGTGCTGGTTTTGGGTGTCCCAGTGCTGATTTTGGGGTCCCAGTGCTGGTTTTGGGGTCCCAGTGCTGGTTTTGAGGGTCCCAGTGCTGATTTTGAGGGTCCCAGTGCGGGTTTTGGGGGTCCCAGTGATGATTTTGAGGGTCCCAGTGCTTATTTGAGGGTCCCAGTGCTGATTTTGGGTGTCCCTGTGCTGATTTTGGGGGTCCCAAGGATGTCCCTGTGCTGATTTTGGGGGTCCCAGTGCTGGTTTTGAGGGTCCCAGTGCTGATTTTAGGGTCCCAGTGCTGGTTTTGGGGGTCCCAATGCTGATTCTGGGGTTCCCAGTGCTGGTTTTGGGGGTCCCAATGCTGATTTTGGGGTCCCAGTGCTGGTTTTGGGGGTCCCAGTGCTGGTTTTGGGGGTCCCCACCTCGGTGCTGAAGGTGAGGTCGTAGCCCAGCGTGGAGACGTCGTTCTCCAGCAGGTACACGAGGCCCTGGTAGAAATGATAATCCTCGCTCTCCATGTCCGTGTACCTGGGGGGGCCAAAAACGGGGTGAGAAACCACGGGGAGCCCCAAAAACGGGGTGAGAAATAACGGGGAGACCCAAAAATGGGGTGAGAAATAACGGGGAGCCCCAAAAATGGGGTGAGAAACCACGGGGAGCCCCAAAAACGGGGTGAGAAATAATGGGGAGATCCAAAAATGGGGTGAGAAACCACGGAGAGATCCAAAAATGGGGTCAGAAATGATGGGGAGCCCCAAAAATGGGGTGAGAAACCACGGGGAGACCCAAAAATGGGGTGAGAAATGATGGGGAGACCCAAAAATGGGGTGAGAAATGATGGGGAGACCCAAAAATGGGGTGAGAAATGATGGGGAGACCCAAAAATGGGGTGAGAAACCACGGGGAGACCCAAAAATGGGGTGAGAAATAACGGGGAGACCCAAAAATGGGGTCAGACCCTGCCAGGGGTCCAGAACCCCACAAATGCAGTTCCACCCCCCACTCTAATGGGGTCCAACACCCCAAAAATGACTCCAAACCTTCTGAGGGGGCTGCAGCACCCCAAAAATGACTCCAGCATCCCAAAAATGAGTCCAGCACCCCCTAAACACAGCCCCACACCCCCCAAACCCACTCCCACCCCCCTCTAAGGGTGTCCAGCACCCCAAAAATGACTCCAAACCTTCTGAAGGGGCTCCAGCACCCCACAAACGCCTCCAGCACCCCACACACACACTTCCACCCTACCTATAAGGGTGTCCAGCACCCCATAAATGGCTCTGGCACCCCCTAAACACAGCCCCACACCCCCTAAACACACTCCCACCCCCCTCTAAGGGTGTCCAGCACCCCATAATTTATTCCAAACCTTCTGAAAGGGCTCCAGCACCCCATAAATCAATGACTCCAGCACCCCAAAAATGACCCCAGCACCCCACAGACACGGTCCACGCTTCTCTGGGGGGACTCCAGCACCCCAAAAATGGCTCTGGCACCCCCTGAACACAGCCCAACACCCCCTAAACACACTCCCACCCCCCTCTAAGGGTGTCCAGCACCCCAAAAATGACTCCAAACCTTCTGAAGGGGCTCCAGCACCCCACACACACACTTCCACCCTACCTATAAGGGTGTTCAGCACCCCATAAATGGCTCCAGCACCCCACAAACACAGTCCACGCTTCTCTGAGGGGGCTCCAGCACCCCAAAAATGGCTCTGTCACCCCCCAAACACAGCCCCACACCCCTTAAATGCAGTCTCACACTCCTCTAAGGGTGTCCAGCACCCCATAAACAGAATGTCCCATCCTTCTGAGGGGCTCCAGCACCCCAAAAATGGCTCTGGCACCCAATAAACACAGTCCCACATCTGTCTAAGGGTGTCCAGCACCCCATAAATGAGTCCAGCACCCCCCAAACCCACTCCCAGCCCCCAGGACCAGCCCCTTACCGCACGGACTTGCCCAGGATGTGTTTGTAGAAGGAGCGGGTGAAGTAGCACTCCAGCAGCCGGTTGTCGTACACGGCCTTGGCCACGATCCTGCCCACGAACTTGAAGTAGCTCAGGTGGTTGGGGTTGCAGTGGCTCGAGGGGTTGATGGTGTAGGTGACGCGGTCGCCGGGGGACGTGCGGAACAGGGCGTACATGGGGTTGAACATCTCGCGGGAGATGATCATGTACCACTCCCGCAGCAGCCCCCCGGCGTCCTGGCCCTCCTCGCCCTCGAACACGATGTACCTGGGGGGCGGGAGGGGCGTGGAAGTGGTTTAGTGGGTGGTTGAGAGGGTGGAGGGGTGTTTTTGGGTGTCCCAGGGGGTGTTTTGGGTGTCCTGGGGGTGTTCTGGGTGTCCCAGGGGGTGTTCTGGGTGTCCCCGGGGGTGTTTTAGGGTGGTTTCATGACGATCAGGAGGTGTCTTGGGTGTCCCAGAGGGTGTTCTAGGGGTCCCCGGGGGTGTTCTGGGTGTCCTGGGGAGTGTTCTGGGTGTCCCAGGGGGTGTTTTGGGTGTCCTAGGAGGTGTTCTGGATGTCCCAAGGGTGTTCTGGGTGTCCTGGGGAGTGTTTTGGGTGTCCCAGGGGTGTTTCAGGGGGGTTTGAGGAAGGTCTGTGGGTGTCTGTGGGGCTTGAGAGTTGTTTGGGTGTCCCAGGGGGTGTTTTGGGTGTCCCAGGGGCTGTTTTAGGGGTCCCAGGGGGTGTTTTAGGGGTCCCCGAGGGTGTTCTGGATGTCCCAGAGGTGTTTTGGGTGTCCTAGGAGGTGTTTTGGTTGTCCCAGGGGTGTTTTTGGGTGTCCCATGGGGTGTTTCAGGTGTCCCAGAGGTGTTTTAGGGGGGTTTGAGGAGGGTCAGGAGGTGGGGTCAGCCCCCCCCCCCGGCGTCCTGGCCCTCCTCGCCCTCGAACACGATGTACCTGGGGGGTGGGAGGGGGATTGAGGTGGTTTGGTGGGTGGTTGAGAGGGTGGAGGGGTGGTTTTGGGCAAAATTCTGGGGGAAATTGGAGGGTTTAGGGGGATATGGGGAGGATGGAGGGGTGTTTTTGGGTGTCCCAGGGGGTGTTTCAGGTGTCCCAGGGGTGTTTTAGGGGGGTTTGAGGAAGGTCTGTGGGTGTCTGTGGGGCTTGAGAGTTGTTTGGGTGTCCCAGGGGGTGTTCTGCGTGTCCCAGGGGTGGTTTTGGGTGGCCCAGGGGGTGTTTTGGGTGTCCCGGGGAATGTTTTGGGTGTCCCAGGGGACGTTCTGAGTATCCCAGGTGACATTCTGAGTACCCAGGGAACATTTTGAGTATCCCAGGGAATATTATAGGGTTCCCAAGGGCTATTTTGGGTATCCCAGGGGCCATTTTGAGCATCCCAGGTGACATTTTGAGCATCCCAGGGGACATTCTGAGCATCCCAGGGCACATTTTGGGTATCCCAGGGGACATTCTGAGTATCCCAAGGGACATTCTGAGTATCCAGGGGTTATTTTGGGTATCCCAGGGGACATTCTGAGCATCCCAGGTGACATTTTGAGTATCCCAGGGGACATTCTGAGCATCCCAGGGGCCATTCTGAGCATCCCAGGGATCATTCTGAGCACCCAGGGGCCATTCTGAGCATCCCAGGGATCATTCTGAGCACCCAGATGACACTCTGAGCACCCAGGTGACATTTTGAGCATCCCAGGGGACATTCTGAGCATCCCAGGGCACATTTTGAGTATCCCAGGGGACATTCTGAGCATCCCAGGGCACATTTTGAGTATCCCAGGGGACATTTTGAGCATCCCAGGGCACATTTTGAGCACCCAGGGCACATTTTGAGCACCCAGGGGACATTCTGAGCATCCCAGGGGACATTTTGAGCACCCAGGTGACACTCTGAGCATCCCAGGTGACATTCTGAGCATCCCAGGGCACATTTTGAGTATCCCAGGGGTTGTTTTGGGTATCCCAGGGGACATTTTGGGTATCCCAGGGGACATTTTGAGTATCCCAGGGGACATTTTGAGCACCCAGGGGACATTCTGAGTATCCCAGGTGACATTTCGAGTACCCAGGGGATAGTCTGAGCATCCCAGGGGACATTTTGAGCACCCAGGTGACACCCTGAGCATCCCAGGTGACATTTTGAGCATCCCAGGTGACATTTTGAGCATCCCAGGGGCCATTCTGAGCATCCCAGGGATCATTTTGAGCACCCAGGTGACACTCTGAGCACCCAGGTGACACTTTGAGCACCCAGGCGACACTTTGAGCACCCAGGTGACATTCAAGGGCTCCCCAAGAGCTACGTGAGAGGCGCTCTCACAGGCGATTCTTCATCTCCTCGGGCGATTTTCGGTGCAGCTCCCGGTAGGAATCCTCGAAGACGTGATCGCGCCGCACGTGCACGGCCATGTCCTCCTTGCGCAGCCCCTCGTCCAGGCGCTCCAGCTCCTGCCTGAAATACCTGGGGCACCCCAAAAAAAAAAAAAAAAAAAAAAAAATAAAGGGGTCTAAAGTGTTATTGGACACACCAAAAAAAAAAAAAAAATCCATTTGTGGGATAATCTCCCAACCCCAAAGCGTCACGGACTTGCGCTTGACGTCGAAGTCCAGCACGCGGATGTA